TTCACCTTCTACTTTCCAAGGTACAAAGTATTAATTTGTCAAATTCCCCTTGCTTCTTTTCTTTACTCTCTTTTCTTCTTCCCTCCCTCACCCCTTCCTTCATTCTTTAGGTTTTCTGAAGCAGGGTCTCTGTTCAGGCTGGCCTTAAACCCCGCGTATAGTCCAGGCTGGCTACAGTTTTAAACTTGTATTTGGGCTTTCCCAATGTGTCTTCGGTGTGCTCTTCTGTGTTTCTAACAGTCTGAAAGCCTTACTTCCTCTTCCTGCAGCCTTTCCCGTGCGGCACAGCACAGCTCTCTTTCCCACTGCTTCCAGGGCCCTGCAAGCTCTCCTGCTTGCCTCCATCAGCGTGGAGCATGGTATTTTCCCGAGTTCTCCTAATTCGCACTGGTAGGACGCGACCTTCTTTTTCATCTGAGGAGAAACAGGCTCCTCCGGGGACTTGCCTGCCGTTATTCCTGCCCACGCCGCTCCTGTAGGAACCGAACCAGAGCGGAGGGCCTGCCGCCGGCCCGCGCCCCCTTCCCGGTCCTAGAAGGCCGACCTGCTGGCGACAACCCACGCGGAGGGCTGCGGCTCACCGGGCCGGGCGTCCCCTATGCCCGCTGCCGCTCTGCCCTCCTCGCGATACATCGCTGGCTAGCGCGGGGCAGGAGAAAACATTAAAGCTGCTTCTTACTGTTGCCCTTTAGGTATTCTCTGATCCCTGCAGTCCTGTTAGCAAAGCCCTCCGTCCTCACCGCTGGGCCTTTCTACAACCACTGCTCCACAACACAGCCCAACACCTGCCGAATGGAAGGGCCTACAATGGAAAGCCCCGAGGGGCCATCACTTGGCCTTCTCTTTCCCCCAGGCGCGATCACTTGGCCTTCTCTTTCCCCCAGGCGCGATCACTTGGCCTTCTCTTTCCCCGAGGCGCGATCATTTTGCCTTTTCTTTCCCCAGGCCGATCACCGGGCCTTCTTTCCTGAGGCCCGATCACTTGGCTTTTACTTTCCTTCTGCAGTCCGCACCTGCAGCCCAGCCCGTTTGTGGGGTGGCTTGTTATTGCCCAGGGTGGCTTGACTAGCAATCCTCCTGCCTCAGCCTTCCAGAGTGCTGGCATTATAGGCAGGCATCAGCAGACTACTCATCTTTACTCATTTTTAAGCTAAGAAGCAAATATGTAATTTAAAATATCCCTCGAAGACATAACCACATGTTCATTTTCACCATTTCAAGTGAAAACAACATAAAGCACACATTATTCATGTCTTATGATTTTTTTAAAGTACCACGCCCACCTAGTTTGCCATTATAAGCTCCTTGAGGAAAGAAATTATATCCTACTTTAATACAACAGTGCTAGTACAGAACATGAAGGGCATTTTGCTTGTTTGTTTGTTTTATTTTTCTCTTTTTGAGACACTGTCTTACTACGCAGCTCAGGCTGGCCTTGAGTGCACTCTGTAGCCCAGGCGGGTCTCAAACTTGCAATGATCCTCTTGCCTCAGCCTCTCAAGAGTGTCTGGATTCCCAGTAGGCACCACCAAGCCCAGCTAACATGAAGTGTTTTGTGTGTATGTGACTGTGAAATCTTTAAATAAGCCACTAAGTTACCAAAATCAACATAACATTCCAGTCAGTGGGCCATTTTCTTTAAGTCAAGTTCATGTAATTCGGGCTAATGCTGAACTCTGTGGTGACCCGCCTGCCTCAGCCTCCCAAGCACTGGTGGACCATTCAGTTACAGGTATGGTTACACTGATGACTAAATAGCTAACATGCCCGCGCTGGCAGCAATACAGTAAGCAGCCAACATTTCTCAAGGACTTACTCCATACCAGACAGGGTCCCTCGGTCCATCACACACATTAACTCAGGTCGCCTACATCAGCCTTCTACAGCACGAAACTCAGCACTTGCCAGCCTTGTTTTACAGATGCGGAGACTGGAGTCCACAGCACAACTTGCCCACAGCCACACCAACATAGGGAAGGGGAGGATTTAAAACTCAGCCCAGGGGTGGGGATACTCAGCGCTTGGCAAGCATGAATGTGGCCCTGAGTTCAATCTCTACATCTCCCCCTTCCTTTTTTTTTGAGAAAGGGTCTCATTATGCAGGTAGGCTGGATTTGGGCTCACTTTGTGGCCCAGGCTGGTCTAACTCCCAATGATCCTCCTGCCTCAGCTTCCTGAAGGCTGGGGTTACAGGCACACACCACCGGGCCCAGCTCACAATCTCTGCATCTTGAAGAAAAAAATAAAACAAAAAACCTCAACCCAGACTATCTTAAAGAGGCTATCTAGAATAAAACTTGTATTATGGGCAAACTTGGATGGAAGGGCGGAATTAGCGCTTAGAAGCATGCAAATACAAAGGTAACTCTGGGGTAAAGTTCTTAGAAGGTCATCTAGGCGCCTGTCAACTTCAGGGGTGCAGCCATGAACCCAGCAAGTCCCTCGGGATTCTCACACTAAAATTCAGAGAACCATTCTTCTGATAGCACCTTTGCTGCAGCCCCTCTGGGAGCTGTGAAGCACAACACTGTTAACAAACAGGACATTTTATTCCAAATGTAGTAGGTAGAATCTGTTTCTTTATTCTGCAACAATTCTTAAACTTATTTCCAGCAAGTGTGGTGGTAAACACCTGTAATCCTAGTACCTGGGAAGCTGAGGCAGGAGGATTGCTGAGAGTTCAAGGCCAGCCTGGGCCACATAGTGAGACCCTGTCTCAGAAAAAAATAAATAAAATAAAAATCTGTTCTCATCAGGGAACCCCTGAAAATCAAATTCTTAAAATCTTAGAGCCAGTACTGTGGCCCAACTAGGAACAATTTCACAATAGGAAATCATAATCATGTTAATACTAAAATTTTAAATTTACAATCACGTTTTCTTAGTCAATGTGTCCACATGAAAAAAGATAATCTTCTTAGGGTGTTTTCATCAATGCAAGTGTGCTGTGTTATTTTGTCCTTTGCTGGCATTCGCTACCCACAGAAAGCAGAAATCAAAGGTCTAAGAATTCTAATTCTTTAAATTCCTCTACATTTTGAAGTCTGCCACCCTCATGGCCAAGTTTCCCCCAAACAGCCGAGAACCATTGCATTACAGTGGAATGTACTGCCCACCAGCTCTTAGACACTCCTAGATGCTGTATGACGAGGTTTCTTAACGTGGGTTCAGGAATTCTAGCTGGAAAACTGTTATATTTTCACTGAGCCTTAATTCAAACACAGCATCTCCTTAATCATGAATGGGGGCAACTACACATAGCAGCATGAGCATCTCTAACTGTCTCGGAAACTGTTTTTGCGTATCACATTATATGTGTTGAACACGTTAAAATACTGTTTATTTTCAAATTATGGTAATTACATTAGATAGTATATCTTCTTTTAATAAGTTAATTTAAAGGTACACAGTACTACATCAACACTTCTTGGGGGATGGGGGCTCTGGGAATCGAACTCTGGACCTTCCAGTTGCCAGGCAGGCACTATGCCACTTGAACTATCCCCAGCCCTCCATCACCACTTTTTAAAAAGAAAAATATCCCGATAATTGTAGTTCAATATAGTTGGTTTCCTTTGGAATCCTATGTATTTTACATACTTGAAAACATAATCATGAGAAGAGGTCTGGTATCCTTAAACAATATAGTTCTAGTAGGTCTTAATCTTACACAATAGTCACATCAGTCTTTTCATTCCATTCCCAGTTTAGCTGCCTGCCATGGCAGAAAGAGGCATCAGAAAAAAGAAAATAAAGTTGCGGCTGGATAAGTCAGTGCAGGCTCCTTAGGCTTTGCGTCTGTGGACTGTCTGGGCACGAATTCCCACCTTTCATCTCAGTCTCAAAAGGGATACAAAGTTAGGACCCATTCCAGAGAAACAGGTGTGCTCCTGAAAACCTACCCACAAACCTAAAATATTTTAAAAACTTTTCAGCAGACCTTCACCTGTACACAGCATCTATTTCCTGAAGCAAGCTGTGTGCGGGTCAAGCAGTTTTTAAAACTGGCCTTACGACATCTCATAGCGAATCAGTGGGGCAGACAGGACGCAAGCCAAGACCACCTGGCTTTTTTATCCCTGATCGGGCTTGTCGTTGCTCTAGTCTAGGGTCTGATGTTCACGCCAGTAAAAAAAAAAAAAAAAAAAAGTACTGGCTGTAAACACCACGGGCCGAGGTTTCAGTTGCTCTGATCGCTACTGTTCACAGCTTTACTAAAGACAAGAAAACTGTCCAACAACCTGCACTAGCACATTTGCTTTGCACTGCAAGCTTAAAAGCCTCCCGCTTCCTCCAATGCCTCAATGAAGGATTCTTAAACGGATGAACATTCAAAAGGAGCAAAACTTACTACTAAAGATCGCAAGCCAACACGAAGGAAGCCAAGAAAAGATGAGACCAGCTGTCATCCTTCTCTTCCAGAACAAGGCCAGGATCACACAGCAGGCCGACTTCCAACAAGGGACTGCCCCAAAGAGGACGACTGTCAGGAAGCGACGGCGAAGCCAAGCCTGACAGTAAGGCTGGCGGTCCACAGCAGTGGCTGGGGCGGGAGCAGGCGCCGGGCAGTGCACCGGCAGCACCAACGGCGGCCGGGAGTGCGCGCCCACCAGCGGACTAGCCTGCGCGTCTCCTTCCTGGCCATCGCCCCCTCTCGCTCCTCCGCCCCAAGCACTGAAGCAATGCGGCACGAGTTGGGGGAATGGGTGGACATATGCCATAGGTTTGGGATACGAACGCGGGTTTGCAATGTTACCACCACGAAATACCTGGCAGCCACGGGCACGTCGCAACTCTGCGCCTCAGTCCCCACTACACAGAAACGCTGCCAGGATTAAGTGAGACAAAGAGTACAGAACCCTCGGCTCAGGGCCGGACAGGCGCCGCTCGGGGCGCTCGGGCGAGCGTGCAGGGGGGCTCTGGGGTCTGGGCTCGGGGCCGAGGGGGCGCTCCGGGGCCTGTTCCCTGCCGGCTGGGATGCGAGCCCCTGCTCGGCCCACCTTGTTGTTGTACTCCTCCACGAAGCTGCCCAGCGCCAGGCGAAAGCGCTTGTCAGGCCGCACGCTCCAGTTCATGGCGTAGACGGTCCACGGCGCTTCATACTTGTAGATCTCCTTCCGTTTGCCGTGCAGGGACATGGTGGCGCCGGGGCCGCAGGGCCGTCCGGGGCGGCAGCGAGCTGCGGCGGGCGCGGAGCGAGTCGGGCGGGGAGCCGGGACCGAGACCGCGGGGTCCGAGGGGAGGCGGGGCAGGGGCGGGCAGGAGCGGCCTAGCCCGGAAGCGCGGCCACGGCGACAAACAACGGCGGCCTAGCCCGACCCCCACTTTCAAACGAGCTTCGGCACCCACAACCACCACCTTCCGCTTGGGATGCCGCCCCGCTCTCCTGGACCGGAAGCCGCGCGACCTCCGCGGCGGCGCCCCCATTGGCTGCCCCACCCGTCCTTTTGCAGCCGTTCCTTCTTCGTATTGGTCACTGCAGCCACAGTTCTGAAAACCCCTCGTTATTGGTGCGTAGCTTTGTCTTTTCAACTCCTCGCCCCGCCCACTCCCAGAGGCCGGCGCTTTGACAACCCCAAATGTCATTGGCTGGTCCAGATGTCAGTCACAGAGATAACGGCGCTGTGCGGGCGAGCGCGGACTTAGGAGACCTGGAGGCGGTCCGCGGGGATCCAAGTTCTAGGCCAAGTCTCTGCGAGCGAAACCTCTGTGTGCCTTTCCGTGTCTTCCCGCTGCTGCTATTCCGAGAGGCTGTGGGCTTAAAATGCTACCGTCGTGGAGGCCCTCCTTTTCTGTCGCTGAGCTCCGAGGTCCGGCTTTGGCGGGTGCCAGACGGGAGCCATCAGCCCGCAGCGCTGCGATCCAGGGACGCAGCCACAGGCCGGAGTCGGGTCTTCTCGCGCTGTTCTTCGGGATCGAGCAATGTTCCCGAAGTCGGGGTTGCTTTTCAAGGGGCAGCGACCCGACTAGCTCGGTTCCAAGCTTTTGTTAGTTCCCATGCTGTCCCTAGCTCTCAGTGGCCCCAAGGCAGTCGCTCATCCCTGAATCTGTGCAGCGAGTTCGAAATCTAGGGAAAAGCTCTAAATCTAGGTGGCTTCCAATTTCGGGCTTTCAACAAGGTTGGAGGTTTGTACTGTATTGCTAGACATCATTAAAAATCATTGTAAAAGATAAATGTGAGAATTTATAAGGAATTCAAAGAACAGAAGAGACAATACTGTACATAACAACCCCTTTTTAAGGCCTCCTTCCTTACGTGGACAAGTTTTCTCTGCATGTAATAAGTTTAAAAAAAAAGAAAGAAAGAAAAATAGGTTTTTAAAGGTCATTGCAAATGTTGTCTTATAATCTTTTAAAGTTACAATATTTTAAAAATTGACGATGCTCCTGGACACAGTGACATGTGTCTCTAGTCTCAGCCACTTGGGAGGCCGAATCAAGAGGATCACAAGTTCAAGGCCATGGAAGTGGCTTAGTGAGACTCGACCCCACAATCACTATGCTCTACGGATGGAGTAAGATATTTACAACACACTGGACATTCCAGCCTTTGAAACTACTTAGTGAAATATTTCAGAAGTGAACAATGTGAGGAGAGACAAACATTTTTAAAAAATCTTTTAGGAAAGAAAGGACTAAATACCAGTGACCAGTTATTTTAGGGACATTTGCCCAACAAGGTGTACATGCTCTCAAACCAGACTGTCTGGGTTGCAATTATGTTCTTTTTCTTATTGTGTTGGGCATCATTATTATTTTTTGGACATTGGGGAGTAAACCCAGGGCCTCACGCCTGCTTGGACAAGCACGCCACCACTGTGCTGTGCCCCCAGCCCATTTTACTGCTTTCTTTTGAGGCAGGAATAACCCTCCCTGCCCCAGGACTAATTTACCCACAGAAGCACATATTTGCACACCTGGACGCTTACGTAGCCGGCACCATATCCAAACCCAGAGCAATCCTGGTATCCCAGAAGCCCCCCTCGTGCTCAGTGAAGTTCCTGGGCTCTCCACTACTGACCCCACATCTGTGACATGGGCATGACAATGCTGACCTCTCGCTGTTGCTCTGAGCATGAGATGAAAGGTGCATGCGCTGCTGGCAACATGTCTGGCACCCCGTGAGTCTCTGGCCGTGCTCTACTGCCACAGTCCCCTGTGGCCACCAAACCCCATCTGCTTCCCTCCACCCCAGTGTGGCTAACAGTCCCAGATGAGCCCCCCTTAGGTCTCCCACATGCTGGGCGGGGTGAAGAGGAAGCCCCTGTCCAGCTCCTTGAGAACGTCACAGCTCAGTCAAGAACATGTGAGAGTCCCATAAATTTCACATCAGACCCAATATGCAATTTGCTGACTTTATTAGCTTTGTGACATTCCACACCTTCAAGTGACCCAGATATTGTCACAGGACTATCAGGGATGAAGGGGCTAAGGACTGAAGTTCTGCTCCTCCACATCTGCCATAGAGGTCGCCTTTCTCTCCAGCCTGGCCAGAGGACCCTGGCAGGATGTCTGTCCAGGCCTGTCCCTTTGTACTGGACCTCGAGGTGGCAGCTGGTTTTGAGCCAGGAGGTGATCACCCGTGCGGCCCAGGGCAAGGCTCACAGGGACAATCAAAAACTTCACCTTTCTTCACAGAGCTTTGCATCTTTTAAGCTACCAGCACACCTGAGCTCCCCCAACCTTGGGAGGGCTGTCTGTCTACACAGAGCCCCCAAAAAGGGTTGGGCGAAGTCCTCTGTCACCTGGGCTCACTTGGGTTAGCGGTTTGTAGTTACTCTAGGAGAATGGTTTTCAGAGGCCCATCCTAGGGCCTATCCGCTTCTTCTGACATCCTTAACTCTCAGCTTGGCCACCTTGAATCTCCCTGTGGTGGTCTTTAGGATTCAGCAGCCCTAACTCCTTGTAAAGCCAGGATCTGAGCCATATCTCTGGAACTCCACTTGCTTGGGAACAGAGCCAAGGTGTTCAGGGAGAGAGGAAAAGCGAGGACCAGAGGCAAGTCCCTGTACCTCCAGGGGACACAGAGGTGAGGGCAGGGGTGATAGGAGCCCCTCAGGCTGCTCCTGTTCCAAGGATGTCTTCAAGGCTTTGTCTATTGCTGCAGCCAGGTGAGGCACCCTGGAAGAGGGACTCCTGTGCTTCGGTGTGCATCCGTCCAAGTCACCATAAGGCGGGTTCTGGGAAGGAGGGGAGAGATGACGTATGCTGTGTAGGGAGCCCTCCAGGCCAGGAAGGGTTAGTCCACTCTGACCTAAAGGACAGAACTCTTCCTCCACACCTCAGGGTCCAAGGATCTGCTACCATCTTGTCCAGATGACCCTGTTGCAATGACTCAAGTCACCCAGGGGGACAGCGGAAACCACTGAGGTTCTAGGCCTGATGTCGCACTCAGAACAAGTTGCGGGGGGGGGGACAAGTACCTGTCTCCAGGAAAGCTTCTGGAGACCCCTCACCTCTCACCTGTGCAGTGGGCAGATGGCCTGGGAGCAGCCTGCACCCTGGACTCTGAGTAGCTGAGGCTGCAGGAAACAAGGCCAGGTCCCTGGAGGCAGGGCCTCCCAGGGCATAGCTGGTGTGGCTCTGGGGCACCGACTGTTGAAGCAGCTGCAGGATGTGGCTGAGATCTGAGGACATGCGGGACTCCAGCCTGCCAGAAAGACCCTTTGCATCAGACTCTTCCTTTTCTAAGAGTAGTTTTCTAAGAGTAGTTCAGGCCCTGAGGGCAGCTCTCAACTCTGTGGTCTTCACACTTTTATCTGCCTAGGGCAATGGCAGCCTGGGACCCACCTGAAGCCATTTCCCCAAGGGGGGCTGTGGCCTTTGCCCAAATTCCCCTTACCATATCCCCTACTCTGCCGCTGCCAGTGTTCCGGCATGGAGCCCACAGCATGCAATCCTAGTGATGCTTTTTCATGCTTTTTCTAATTGTATCATTTACACAAAAGGGCATATTGAGGCTCAGAGCTGTGGAGTGACTTTCTCACACTCTTGCTGGTGAGTTACAGAGCTGTAGTTTGAACCCAGGACTACGCTGCTCCTGAGCTGTCTCTGCCACCACAGCTTTGCTCCCTTTCCAAGGCTCCATGGGGTTTATTCAGCACATAGATGTGCATCTCCCCTATGAACCTCCCTTGGCATTCCAGGATTTTCCGGAAGAAGCCATCTAAAGAATTGTTCTTAGTGACACGGGAATGGATAAATTTGCCACTAAATGGATACTGTTCTGAAACCCACCTGACACCCAGCAATTCCCCAGGACCCCAGGAGGGGGCGCCCATACCCAGCCTACAGCAGGTGGGGCCTGCCCTTTGTGCCTCCAAGCCTTGCCAGAGGGAGCCCTCACCTGTCCATCTGGGCCTGGAGCTGCTGGAGCCTGGAGCCCAGTTCCTGAGGCCAACAGTCTGGCCCCTGCTGCAGGCTTGGCGGCCTGTGCCTCGGAGGCATTTGCTGGAGCAGCTCAGGCCAAAGGCCAGAGGCTTCTGAGATGCTCAGGGATGTCACTGCACCTGCAGGAAGGAAAGGGCCGTTGCTGCGCCACACAGCTGGCTCTACAGGCCTATCCCCTGTCTGCAGAGCTGGAGCTGCCTCTTTCCCTGCCATGAGGTAGTATGGGCAGTAGCTCTCCTTACCTGCATGCCCTGGAGCATAAGGTCTTGCTACTACCGAGCTCTGGCTTCCAGGACCCCGGAGGTTATAGCCCTGGAAAGGAACTGGAGACCCAGCTTATGGGGGGAAAGGCCATTAGAATAGTGGCCTTCCAAAAGGCCATCCTCATTTTGCCTTCATCGCTCAAGGACCTGCAGCCCCAGGGGTTTCCCAGTGCTTTGGCGTGGAGCCCCAGGGCCCGGCTAGTACCTACCCCTGGGAGCAGCTCCTAGCAGTGAGTCCTGGTTCTCCCGCCCTGAGACCATGATCATCAGGGATGGGAGACTGGAGAGAAGAGGGAGGCATGGGAAGGAAGTCCCCTCTGCTCTCTGAGGTACTCAGGGTCCTGTCTCCCCAGGAAAGCAAGATGGAGAAGACCAAGAAGGGGCAGAAGGCAGCAGGACTGCTGGGCTCACCTGACTGGTTGTCGCTGAGGAAGAAGCCTTGGTGGCCTTTACTGGAGGCCTGCTGGGGTGATGACTGGAGACCTCCATCTGCCTTGTAGGGAACAAGAGCATCAAGCAACGGAGACCAAAGCTGGGCCTCTGTTCCTTCCCTTCCCCGCTCCCCTTGTGGCCCCTGTCATGATGAGGCTGCAGGATGCTCCCCATGAGGGAATACAGACAGGTGAACAGAGGTTTGGAGACAATGACTGTGTGGGGCAGCAACACAAAGACCCCCGCTGAAGTCAGGGTAGAGGCTCCCATGAGTAGCTAGACTAGGGGGTAGAAGAACTGCCATCCCAGTCTCCTCCTTCCTGAATGTTCCCTCCCAGGGGCTGGTGGGGAGGATGCTCTGAAGAGACCAAGGTATCCTCCGCAACTCCCCTGGCTGCCTACCCTACTGGCACTATGAGATGTGAGAGGCGTCCGGGGGTTGCAGATGACCTGGCCATGGGGTACTCAGGCCACCTGATGACCCCAAGAGGCTGGGCCCAGTGATGCTGGGTCCTTACTGGACATCTCCTGTGCAAATCTGGTGTGGGGGGAGACTGGGGGAGGGGACAGAAGCTGAAGAGTCACCACCCACCCTGGCCCATTGGCTCAGACTCACGTCCCGCAGGTTGAAGGTGACCTCCAGCTTACTCCAGAAGCTGTCCGCAAAGGCAGGGTACATGTCCAACACCTCCAGCAGGTCTGCCCGCTGGATCTTATGCAGGTCACAGTAGGTCAGGGCCCGTACATCTGCACTGGACTTGCCTGGTCGTGCATGGAGGCTAACAGGCTCCCCGAAGATGTCATTCTTCCCTGCCAACCAGAGGGGGCAATAGTCCTTCTATGGTCTGGCTCCAGGCTTCTGTACGAGGATCCTCCCTGGGAGTCCCTTGAGCATGACCCTCCACTGATGGGTCCTGAGGGCATGGAGCTGGTGCTTGGGGTCAGGGTCTGGGGGTAGGGCTGCCTAGAAGCAGGACAAGGGAATGTCCTTCCTGTCCTCTGAGCTTCACAGATGTCCCCTCAGAGCTGCTCCTGCCCTGACCTCATGGGTCCCCTTGCTGTCTCCAGGACCCTCAGAACTACCCTTCCTTCATTGGAACCCCACTTCTATCCAGGACCTTGACACTGCCCCCACTCCCATCCGGGGGACAGGAAGTAGGGAGGGCCACCAATCTTTTCTGCTTCCTCAAGGTTCAGTGCCATGGAACAGGGTACAGGGGACCCTCCCAGCACCTTCAAGGATCCCAAGGCTTCCAGTTCTTTATCTTCCCCTCTCTGGGAACATGAAGCCTTCCCAGTGTCTTCATCTCTAAAATGGGTTCAATCATGTCTTCCCTGCCTAACCCCCTGGGCTGTCAAGAAAGTGCCCCCAAGGCCAGGGCGATAGCTCAGTAGAACATGTGCTTGCCTGGCAAGCACAAGGTCCTGAGTTTAATCCCCAGTACAAAAAAAAAAAAAAAAAAAAAAAAAAAAGTGCCCCCAAAGCAAGAGGCACCAGAAATGAAAGGTACTAGAAAGGTTGGAGGTCACAGTGTGGCCATATGGTGGGTACTCAGGGTAGATGGCAAGGACATTGGGCCTTTTCTATGCTAGGTGATGAGCTGGCCATAGGGTATGTTATGGTTTGCATGTAGATGTCCCCTCAAAGCCTCATGTGCCATAGGTGGGACTTAGAGGAGTGACTGGATTATGAGTGTATGACACTGGATTAGTCTCCTGTTTAGTTTAGCACAGTTCTGGTTTGTGGATGATAGAGTTACTGAAGGGGAGGGACCCGTTGTGGGTGTGGGCAGCAACAGCCAATAGACTTGCAGCCTGGATGGAATAAAAAGGGAAAGGAAAAGGCCCACTGCTTCTTGCTCACCACACCATGAACTGCTGCTCTTTTGTGACGCCACTCTGCCCTGCCTTGGAAGCAGCTGACTGTGGACTGAAACCTCTACAAATTGAACTACAATAAACCTTTCCTTTTTCAACTTGTGGGTGTTGGGTATTTTGTCCCAGCAGAGAGGAAACAACTAAGACAGAATGAAAACATGAAGAACAGACTGTCCAATAAGCAGACAGAGAAGCAGCCAGCAAAGTTACAGAATGAATGGTAGTTAAGCCTTAGCACAGAGGAAAACCATGGGGGGTGGAGGGGCTCCTTCTGCCAGGAGAGGCTGGGGCGGGGAGTGGACCTTATATGGGAAGGGAGATTCAGAGAGGATTAGGAAAAAACAAGTCTAGAAGAAAAAGGCCAACAAGGCAGAAGAAACAGCACAGCACATGGTCACACTGCATGGTCAGAGCTGAGGACAGAGGCCAGGGCCAGGCTGCCACTGACCATGACAACTTTGAGTCCCATCTCCCTTAAGAACGAACACCTGTCCATCCGCCTCAGCCTGGTGACCTATGGGCAGAGGGCACCATTGGTTCAGTACAGGTCCAAGGTTGGGCGTGTCTCCCTACAAGAGCAGAATGGAAGGTCACCCCCAGAGGAGGGACCTAAGGCCTGGGGAGAGAAGGGGCTCACCAGAGTCCCACATGAGACCTTGCAACTTGAAGTCTGGGCAATGTGATAATGCTCTCGTTTTCCAGTAGATGAAGGATTACGATCTACTCGGTACACACTGAGAGGATTGCACATTTTTGACTAGAACATAAATTGGACGAGCTTGCTAATTATTAATAATAATTATTATCCCTCTCTCCGCGTGGGTAGCACTTGTAGGGCAGGCTGGGAATGAGTAAAGGTCCCAGTGAGGACACCGCTGGAGCTCAGTCTTGAAGGATGCCTGCTGGACAGGCGCAGGGTGGGTGCTACAAGCAGAGGGCAGCACATGCAAAGGTTAGGGGATGTGAGCACCAAGTCAGGTTTAGAGATAAGCAGTCTGTATGGCTGGAGCATGAAGCGCTAGGGCAGTGGATATCAGGACCCAGGGCGGCCAGACTGTGTAGCTCCGTGCATGTATTGTGTGTTCCAGGCTGGCTTTGAACTCCTTATGTAGCCCAGGCTGGCCTCAGACTCAAGCCAAGCCCCCTGCCTCAGCCTTCCAAGTGCTGCAATTACAGGTGTGCCCACCACACCGGGCACACTGTGGAAGTTTGAGTAGAAGAGGAATCTGTGTAGCTGTGTATCTCAGGTCCCTCATGAAAAGTGTAACATGGGAGCAGACCACATGCAAGGTCACAGAAATGAGCTCCCCCCACCTGCCCAGAAAGACACGATGAGGGCTGGACCCAGGCAGAGACAGAGACAGGTGTGGGACGGAGCAGCAGCAAGAGAGGAGCAGTGGCACGGCCACCCAGGTGGCAGGAGGCGGAGAAGACCCTCCCACTTGATCACAGCCCTGGCAGTGGGTGGATGGTTCACGGTGATGAAGAACCCAAAGGCGCCTCTTCTGAGGGCAAGTCATGGCTTCAGGTTGGGATATGTTGGGTTTGGTCTGCTTATGGACTTTGGGAACGGAACATTCTAGTCTAAGGAGAGACTGGGGCTGCCAGAGCTCTGGACATTCTTGTGGCACAGGCAAAGGCCATGGCTGAGGCAGAAAGGAGCCAGTCTGGCCAGGGTGTAGAGAGAGAAGAGGGCACTGGAGCCCCGTGTTCAGCAACCGAGGGCAGGTGGGGCGGGGGGCTGGGCGGAGGAGCACTGGGGGACCTGTCTCTGGGGGTTGGAGGAGACCCAGGCCATGGAGACCTGAGGGGCAAACCTGAGCCGGATCAGAGACTTGGGGCAAGTGGAAGTCACAAGGAAGGCGAGGACGCCCACGGAGTAAAGTGACTGCCCCAGGCCTGGCAGCAGGCGGGGGGCACAGGCTGCTTGGCACTGGAGTCTGCTCTTCTCCGGTGCTCAAACTGTAGTCTCTGCTGCTGCACTGAACCAGACGCCCTACAGGGTATTTTTTCCACCTGAGACCCTTGGCCTGTCATCCTAATCTCCCCAGGACTGTGATGAAAGAAGGAACTTGCCTGGCCTTCTAAAGCGGATACAAAGCCTTGCAGTCCCAGCAGGGCCACTGGCTAGCATGACCTCTAAGCGCCTCAGCCTTCCTCTTGGGAAGATGGGACCTATGGTAGAGGGCTGAGCCGAGGACTCTGGGAGCTGATACGCATGCTGGGCTCGGGTCGGGAAAGGAAGTGGCCGGGTGGGGACGTCTCGGGCTCGTCCTCCACCTCAGGCCTGGACCTCCCTGCCAGACTCACCGAGGATAGCCACGACCACGTCGTCGCGCAGGATCTCGATGGAGCCGCGCGAGATAAAGTACAGCGTGGACAGCACGTCACCCAGGTGCACCAGCGTGTCCCCGGGCGGCGCGTGCGCGGTCTTGAACTTCACAGCGAGCGCGCGCAGGCAGCCCTTGCTGGCCCCGCGGAAGGCCGGGCAGTGCTGCAGCAGCGCACGGTGCAGGTGCAGGCAGATGTCGGCCTGCAAGCACTCCGGGAAGCCCTTCAGCACCTGTGGGGCGGGGTGGTCCAGAGGGGTGCAGCGGGGGTGCTGTGGCAGACCTCGCATCCCCAGGATTTATGTATGTATGTATGTATGTATGTATGTATGTATGTGTGTATGTATTTAGTAGTAGTAGTAGTAATATTGTAGGGAAGGGTCTACAGGGTGTTCAAGGTCTCACTACTAGATCAGACTCGTAGTGATCTGCCTGTTTACAGCCTCCCAAGAGCTGGGATAATAGGTACGTGTCACCACACCCAGTCTCAATTGCTGTCTCAGTGCACCCCGGGGGCACGGCAGGCCTGGGGATCCAACCCCAGCCTCTATTTATTGATTTAAGTGTCTTTTTGAGACAGGGTCTCCCTATGCAGTTCAGGCCTGTCTTGAGCTCACTTCATAGCCCAGGCTGGCCTCGAACTCGCAGCTATCTTCCTGTCTCACCCTCCCAAGGACTGGGATTACAGATGTTTGCCACCACACCCAGCTCGTCCCCAAGAGTTTGCCCTTCCCTACTCAGAGCTAACTTCAGCCAGAGTTGGTCGCTTGCCCCACTCACGACGGGACAGCCGGCTCACCGCGTTCATGTCGATGCCGTTGGTGTAGGACCAGGCGTGCTGGAAGTACTCCTCCAGCCGCTGGCGCAGCGGGTTGGGGATCTGGTGGAAGCGGATGAACTCCTTGACGCGCAGCATCTGCGTGTGGTAGCGTGCGGTGCCCGAGTACAGGCGCTGGATGATGGCAGACACGTTGCCAAAGATGCTGGCATACATGAGAGCTAGGGGCCAGGCAGGGGGTGAGCCTCAGCCTGGGAAGCAGGCCACACCCCCTTGGCAGCCCCAGGCCCGGACCCTAGGTGCCAGGCAATGTGTGGAGTGCCAGGACAGCGCCAGCACAGACGGGAACAAAGGCTCTGCGGCCTTTTCGCCCTGTCGCCCTGTCCCTGGGTCTCTAGGCATTTTCCCAGCCCCAAGGCCAAGATATTTTTTTTTTTAAACTAAATTTATTTTTTTAATTTTATTTATTTATTTTTTCATTTTGGGGGGGGGGCAGCTCAGCCCACCAGGGGGCGGGGCTGGCTGGCATGTGGTGCTGGGGATTGAACCGGGTCCCTGTGCTTTGCCAAGCTTGTTCCAAGTAGGTGCTTTAGACCACTGAGCCATCTCTCCAGCCCAAGGCCAAGATATTTTGAAGGAAGAACTAGGGCAATGGATTTTGTTGTTGTTGCTCTTATTTGTTTTCTCCTTCACGTTGTAAAATTGCAATGGGAAAACTCTTGGCCCATTGTCTTCACCCGCTTTTTTTCCCCTTGTTTTTGTTTTTCTGGGCTTTCACATCTCTAAATACTCTGAACATGACAACTTAATTGGTGTAAAATGGCACACTGCTTTCAAGTTCTTAAACCAGGTGTCTCAGGAGACAGGAAGCTGGGTGCAGGAACTGGAGCAGGCGCCTGGCCTGGCCCTGCGCTCAGAGACGCCCAGTTGAGTGGTTTCTGGCCGGCCAGGACCTTCGGCTCCTGTTCTGTACACCAGGCCTCTAAAGGAGTGAGATGTGGGCATGCAGCGTGCTTAGGGGAACAGCAGCAGGCTCAGCTTCAGCTGTGTAGCCGCGGGGACTGACCTGATCTCAGCGTTACTCATACTTTTTCAAGAAAGGTGCCTACATTTCCATTTTGCACACTGGTCTCTGCAAATGCTCATCTTGGTGCCTGGTGTATCCCAAAAGCAATTTAGGTGTTAACTTCTGTGTACCAGTGATCGTATGAATGTGCAAAAATAAATGTGTTGGGCATTTAGGATCCGAGTACCACGTGCATTGCTACTGCCTGTAATGTCTATTTCAAAACAGCAAGGACAGGGGCTGGGAAGATAGCTCAGTGGCACAGCACCTGCCCGGCAAGCGCAAGGTCCTGAGTTCGATTCCCAGTACAGAAAAGTTAGTGAAGAGATGAGAGGAAGATGGGGAATAAAAAGCAGAAAATCGTGCTCGCTTCAGCAGCACATATACTAGAAATGGGAACAATACAGAAAAGACGCACGGCCCCCGCGCTCTTATGTACACAGACAGGATAGCTTGGATAACTGTACTGCTGATTTCTGCCCGTCTATTGAAACAAGCAGTTAATGCTTAAATATTTTTTCTCTTCTCCTTTTTAATTTCTTATAATTTTTTTTACCAATTTTGCATACTTATGTCTGAATAATCTAAACAACTAATTTGAAGACAATATTGTTCAATATAACAACCATTGTTTTTTTTTTTAACAACCATTGTTGAATTCCTGTTATTTTGTTTAGTGAAAGTCTGTATCGTTTCCAATTTTATTTTTACACTATTTTTACTGTTTTCTTTTCTTTTTTTTTTTTTTTTTTGGCAGAACCGGGAATTGAACTCAAACCCTTGCACTTGCCAGGGAAGTGCTTATTCCACTGAGCCATCTCCCCTGCTCCTACACTATTTTTAAAAATATATTTAGTACAGGGTCAATAGGGTCTCACTACACAGATCAGACTTGATCCTCCCGTTTTCAGCCTCCCAAGCACTGGGATTACAGGCACACACCACTGTGCCCAGTCTCAGTTGCCGCCTCAGCACCCCAGGGGCCGGGCGGCACTGCACACCTGGTATCAGATTCTGGTCCCTGTGCCTGCCTGTGGTGTTTTAGTCTCCTGAGCTATCTGGAAGGCCCTTTATTTTTATACTACTTTTAATCTCGGGGCTGGGGAGATGGCTTAGTGGAATAAGCGCTTCCCTGGGAAGCGCAAGGGCCTGAGTTCAATTCCCAATTCCTCCAAAAAAAAGAAGAAGAAGAAGAAGAAGAAGAAGAAGAAGAAGAAGAAGAAGAAGAAGAAGAAGAAGAAGAAGAAGAAGAAGAAGCTATTTTTAATCTCTCTTAAAAATAAAATTTAAAAAGAACATTGAAAACAACAACAAAGCCCCCAGAACCCCCAGGCCCCTAGCGCAAGGCTGTACTCACAGCCGATGAGCATGACGCAGATGGAGAACACCTTCTCAGAGTTGGTGTTGGGGGAGACGTTGCCGAAGCCCACGCTCGTGAGGCTGCTGAAGGTGAAGTACAGGGCCGTGACGTACTTGTCCTGCACTGAGGGGCCCGAGGCCGGGTCGCTGCCGTTGTAGTGCTTGCCAAGCTGTGCGCCCAGGCTGTCCAGCCAGCCGATCTTGGGCTCCAGGTAGGGCCGCTCCACGTTGCCGATGGCGTACCAGATGCAGGCCAGCCAGTGCGCGATGAGCGCGAAGGTGCACATGAGCAGGAAGAGCACGGCCGCCCCGTACTCGGAGTAGCGGTCCAGCTTCCGCGCCACGCGCACCAGCCGCAGCAGCCGCGCGGTCTTCAGCAGCCCGATCAGGGTGGTGGTCTGTGCAGCAGGGAAAGGGCGGTTCAGGCTCATGTTTGTTCTTTCTTGCGCACGGTCTCAGGGTCATTTAACAGACACTAATGTGCGATCTGCTCTAGGCCAGGCATCTGACAGTGGGATATAGGGTGGGGCCTTCCAGCGTTTTCAGTCTAAAGCTTGGAAGAGTGTCCTGGTTACAGGAAAGAAGTCCATGGAGGAAAGGAAAGTCCGGTCTACAGGGGCAGGTCAAGAGCGGCTGCCTCTAAAGATTCTTTTTTTTTTTTTTTTTTGGCGGAACTGGGGATTGAACTCAGATCCTTGCATTTGCCAGTCAAGCGCTTATCCTACTGAGCCATCTCCCTGGCTCCTCTAAAGATTCTCAGGGGTGAGGGACAGGGTCGGTGACTAATCTGAACTTTGTGCTGGCCACTGTGTGGAAGGACAGCAGTGGGGAAGACGCTTACTCAGTGTAAGAACAGGCGGCAGGTGTGGAGAGGACTTGTGGGTGACATGCTAGGGGAGGTGACATAGGACACCCCTGAACCCTCCCTGCTGGACAGGCGGGAATGAGGGGAAATGACACCTAGAAGGTGGGGTGGATTTGGTGGAAAGCAGATCCCGAGGAGATAGGGGAGGAGGTTACAGTGGGACCAGAAGCCCCGAGAAGAGGACCCCATGCTCTCATACCACCCATGTGGAGCCGGAGGGCCTGGAGCAGGCAGGGGTGAGGCTGCACGGGGGAGGGGGGGGGTTGCAGACAGAGGATCCCGTTTTTTAACTCCTGGGCGTGGGAGGGGCTGAGACTCTAGAACTGCCCATCTTTAAAGGGGCAGAAATTTTGGGGCCCCAAAGGACATTCTCCACTTTCTGCTCCGGTCGGAGAGCTGGGCAGAGGGACAACCCACCAGCTGGTCTTTCTCCAGCCGCTCTGGAAGATGCCAGATGCCGGATGCCAGAGGCCTCCACTCCACCTCTGCTTGCACTGGCCAAGCTGCCCAGGGCCAGGGGCTCTCTGCATCCAGGGCTGGGAGGCAGGAAGTCCCCAGGGCTAGGTGCAGGAGGCAACCATAGCCTCTGGCCTGGATGCTATTTGCTCACCTCATCAGACCCAGTCCGGAAGATGAGCAGATCAAAGGGGATGGCGGCCACCATGTCAATGAGGAACCAGCCCTTGAAGTAGTGGACGGCGATGCGACGGGGGTGGCTGACTACCTCGTCGTTGGAGTTGACGTAGGTAGTACGGAAATTGATGACAATGTCCACAACAAACATGATATCCACAATGAGGTCCACCATGGTGAGTGGACTGCAGGTGTAACCACAGGCCCCCCGCTGTGACTCATCCTGGTCACTGAGCAGGAAGGCAGCCGAGTAGGGCGTGAAGATGGCCGTGTAGATGACCAGCAGCAGGATGAGCCAGTCCCACACAGCCTTGAAGGGGCTGTAGTGCAGGATGGTGCCGCGGTGGATGCGTGGTGCCTGCAGCTTGTACTCGGGCAGCACATCTGCACCCAGGGACAGGACCTGGGGATGAGGGCCGTGAGGGTCAGTGGGGTCAGCCACCTGTCAGACCGGTGAGACAGGTCTTGGGGAGAAGCCTAGGGAGCCATGGGAAAGGGTGGGTGACAAAGGCTGCAAAGGGCAGAGGGGACGGGGAGGGGAAGTGGGGCAAAAGACAAAGGGTCTAGATCTGTCCCGTGGTGATCCTAGGTTTAAAGCTCAGACACCCCCTCAGAAATAGGCCATCCCGGAGTGGATCATCGATGGGCATATTCCAGGGAAGAGCTAGGACTGAGGAGATAACTTGGTGATCCATCCTCTCTGGTCAGCTTGGAAAGCCCTCATGGTCACCCCTAGAATAAATAGCCTCTTCATTTCTGAGGGCTCTGAGACCCCAGACCAGAGAAGGCCTTCCCTTGGGACCAACTCTCAGAGGTGCCAATGGAAAGAGCTGAATTTGGGGTGGGGAGAGCTGGGTACCAGGGAATCCCAGCTACCTCACACATGTCCAAGGGAGTTTGAATCAACACATTCAATGGAGCTCCTTCTGTTTTGCACCTCCCCCCCCCCCACATTTGCCTCCAAGACTATGGGGAACAGAGAGTCACTAAGGCCTGGCCCAACATGCCCAGGATTGGCCTGGCTGCCCAACAGGAGAAGCAAGACAGACTAAACGATAGGATGGACCTGGGCTTTGAAGCCAGACTTCCAAAGCTGAATCCCAGTTCTGCCAGTTGCTATCTGCATGCCTTGCAGCAAATTTTGTAGCTGCTGATGCCTCAATTCCCACATATGCAAAATGGGCAACGAGGTGCAACAGATGTGAGTGGTCGCTATGGTGAAGGGAGACGCATCTCTCTGCATTAGGTGACATGCTGTTCTGCACAGTCGGTCCTCCTGCTTCCTTATCCTGTGTCTGGTATCATTCCTTCCAGGGGAGAGCCTGAAGGGCCCACCACTTCTGGGACTCCTTCCCACCAAAAGGTTCTAGTTTAAGAAAATCTATAATGTGAGGTTCTGACCTTATTGACAAGGTCAGTTAGCAGATAGGCTTGCAAGAAGGAAGTCCCCTCAAAGGATTCCTGATCTGACATCCAAACCCTACAGTGGGGTCCCTAGCGTCCCCACCCTGCAGTAGCTTTCTGCTAGACCTTTAGGTCCTGGCTCACCTTCACCTCCTCAGTCCCCGGATGCAGTCCTGGCCATGTACTACCCTTTATTAGGCTATGAGTTCAGCCAGGCTATTGTCTCCACCTGCCTGCTCATCCCTGTGCTCTGACATGCAGCCCACATGGGCTTCAACTAGTGGCCGCTGAGCGAGCGCCAGCAGCTTGGGCTCTGCCTCCAAGTGTAGGCTGGGCCACCACACACAGGGCTGTCCGTGTCCACCCCTCGCTCCAGGCCAGTCCCTAACCCTGTCTGCCTGGGGAGTGAGAGAAGGGCTGCAGGCATAGGGAAGGAAGTTCCAGGCCGCTGAGAAGAGTGTGCAGCCCCATAGTCCCTCAGGACCCTAGATGGGGAGTCACACTGGTGCTCGGTCTCCCAGAGCCTCCAAAGCCAGCATGAAGGCCCATCTATGGCAATGCCCACCCTGCCCAGGAACATCTGGGAACTGACAGGCCTTCAGCCAAGAGGGACCTGGGCGTGAGGTCACAGCTGCAGGCACCTAAAGTTCTAGTAGAGGTCGGTGTGGCTTCCCTGCTGCGGGCCATGCTGGTCCCCTCCTCTGAACTCTGGCAGGTGGCACTCCTGACCCTAGGCCCACGTAGGGTGGGTAGCAAAACCAAGAGGACTAGGTCAGGAACTAGATGGGGCTGGCACTAGGGGCCCCAGCCCAGCCTGTCCATCTCCGGGGACCATTCTCCAATCCAAGTGTCCCTCGTCTCAGTGACCACCACATTTGTGCCAAGCTAAAGACTTGGTGTCAGCATCTGGTGGTTTCTCACCCACCTGACCTCCGAAGGCCCAGCCCTACAGCCTGGGCTCTCTCCCTCCCCAGCATCCTGGCACTCAGTGGGGGGTTGAGTGGTCTCCATCATACCTGTTTCCAGAACTGACTGTTCTTCTGACAGAAAGGGGTAGAGAGAAAAAGGTCTGCCCCCATGAGGAGACAGCCCCCGAAAGGCTTGCACCCCCTTACTCAGCCTTGGCTAGGCCTCCCTGTGGATTAGAGCTTTGTCTGCAGAGCTACCACTACTTAAGAGCAGGTGGGTCTTCAGAGACCATTTCACCTAACTAGCTGCCTTTTGCACAAGAAAGTCCTGAGCCCCACAGGGTGGGGCTGGCCCTTGGCCCGCCGCCCAGTAAATCAGTACCAGGGCTCTTGCCACTGGAACCTGAAGCAAGACTCCGTATTTCCCTCTGGAATGGTCAGGCAGGCCACCAAGCCCCGTGAGAAATGCGAGTGAACGTTTACCTTAAGCTGGACAATATAGGGCCGCGTGGGGAGGGGGCATCCGTGGATGGGTCTGTAAGAGGCTGCTCAACGTTAGCATGGTTACCGGCCCTACACTGTCTGTTCTTGACGTGGGGAGGGTGCTGTGTGCATGTTGAAAGGGGAAGTGGCTGTCACGTCAAAGGCAAGGGACAAGAGCAGAGCTGGAGGCCTGTCCCACCCCTCCTCCCTCTCCTTTTCTCTTTATGACCCTGACACGGGCTGTCTCCACTTCTTCTCTGGGCCTGGAAGTGGCTCAGGAAGACCCCCAGTGTGGCCGCGCACGATGCCCAGCCCCCTCCCGCCCCTTATAGGCCCTGCTGACCCCAACTTCTCCCAGCTTCAGGAGTTTAGCCTCAGAGCCACGGCCTCAGGGGAGCCCTTCGGGGCTAAGACCCCTCTCAAGCACGGGTCTCAGCAAGCTGTATCTCTCTGTTAGTCAAGATCCCAGAGAACCCCAGGCCCAGGGCTTTACAGGGGACACTGCGGGACCTGGAACAGCCCTGCCCTGCCCTCCCTGCCCTGCCGGCTCGCACCTGGGTGACCTTCTCAGTGACGTTCTGTGTGCGCTCCACCACCTTGTGCGGGGCAATGATCTCAATTTCTGTGGTGGAGCCAGAGCGGTGCTTCTCCAGGTTGAACTCCACGAAGTTGAGTGTGAACTGCGGGATCTGGCTGACAGTCCTGTACTTGCCCCTGCCCGGGCCAGGCCCCTGTCCACCTGGCCTGCCATGAGAGCCCTCTGAAACCAGATCCCGGGTCAGAGCAGCCAGGGCCAGGGCCCTGGCCACCCCAGCAGGTGGCCCCAGCTTGCCCGGGTCATCGCCCCGTAGGCCACCACCCCTGCAGCCCCCTTTCCTCACTCACCAGAGCCCATAAAGCTGCGGGACAGCAGGCGCTGGGTCAGGCTGCGACTGCTGCTCTTGGCCAGCAGCTGGGCCAGGTCTTCGAAGTTGAGGATGAACATGATGACAGCCCCATCCTCGTTCTTCACAGGCACCACATCCACTAAGCACCTGAAGCTGGAGGCTGTGAACACCAGTGGCAGGGCAGGGTGGTCACTGAGTGGGTCTTCTCCTCTGGCTAGGGAGGAGGCTGAGTGAAGGTCAGGTTAAGGGCATTCGCCAGAGAGAAGAGGCCTGGACAGTGACCAGAGCTCACCGGCAGAGGGTGGGTGAGGCTGGCCAGCCAGTGCCCCACGCACGGGGCAGAGATGGGGAGAGCAACCAAGCTGCTCATTAGGAGATAATGCAGCATTAGGTCCATTCCAGGCCTGGCCCTCCGTGCAGGGCTTAGCCGCAAGGTTTGTTTCTGCTATAATTAAAGCTGAGCAGATGGGAGTGGATTAAATGGAGGAGACAAGATGGGGCGCTCCACCCCCATGTCGCTCCGGCTGACCCTGTACTGAGCGCCTATGGTGCCATACCACAGAAATGCCCCCTTCTCTGCCACTGGAAGGGATGTGTTGTTGAGCACATGCTAAGCGCCGGGCAGAGAGCCGGGGGCACACAAGGCCCCAGAAGACCCTTGCGGGGGCAGGCTTAGACTTCTGTCTGCAGGTGGCAGACTGGCTTCTGAAAAACTGATTTGCCATGGCCTGGAGGGGACATGGAGCAAGAACCCCTGGGCTTTGGGCACCCAACAGCTTGGCACAGGGAAGGGCCTTGTCTAGGAGGAGGGTACTGGGGCAGGGTCCTGAGACAGAGGCTGGGACCAGGGAGCAGGCAGGGTATTGTCCTGGGGGTCAGAGAAAAGGAAAAGCGCCCCTGCGACAGAACAGGGGCACTCCTTGCCTCCCCTCCTGGGCAGCCTGAATGTCCCTTTGTGCCTCTGGCCACAGTCTCTGATCTCTTGCTTCCCTCCAGGCTTGAAAATCAGCTGAGATGATGCCCGTCCCACAGAGCGGACCCTAGGCATGGGCATTCCAGGGGGCTGTGTCCCTCGAGTCATGCTGCGGGCAGTATCAGGCCCAAAGGGACAGGGCCCTGGTTGGCCTTGCCATCCAAAAGGCGGAGCTGCTCTCCCAAAGACCATCTGGGTTTGGCTCACTTCTCCCAGGTGCTTGCTGATTAAGTGAGGAAAACATGTGCACGACATAGACATGAGGGTGCGGCGGCCACCGCAGGGGTGCAGCTGCCTCAAGCTGCCTACAAGAATCCCTATTCTCCAGACTCCCTACTTGGTGCTCACCTCCCAGCCCACTCTTTTAGCCATCAGGGGTACGCTGAGCTTCCCCCCGCCCCCGCCCACTGTCCTTCCAGGAGCAGGAATCTCCCGGATCAGATTCCTGGACTCCCAGGCACCAGGCGGCCGGCCGTCTGCCAGCTGCTGCCTAGGCCCAGGGGAGACATCCACACCGAGGCGCCCCCTGCCTTCCTGACCCTCTCCCGGGGTTGCATTGCTGTAGTCACTCTTGTCAGCCTGGGCTGTGGCCAGGCTCCTGCCTTGAAAGCCAAATTATGTCCCTAGTCTTTCTGGTACTGGGAAGGTGAAGCCTGACCAGGGCAGGGAGGGGGCAGAGTGGAAAGGCCTCCATGTTTTCCAAGCTGCTGGGTGTTACCAGGGCCCAGTCTTCCTTCCCACTCACTATTTCTCTGGTTTGAAATCCCGGGCTGGTAATGGGCCCGAGACCAGCCCCTCACTTGGAGCAGTAAGAGTTGGAGCAGCCTGGGGTAATCAGTCTGGTAGGCAGGCAGGAGGCCATGGGAACTCACAGGAGTCCAGCACATCCTCACCCTACGTCCCGGGGCAGCTGTCCTTGCTTCTCCAAGGCTCAGAGCCCACAAGTGGCTGCGTGAGCAGTCGCTGAGTGCCTAGGTTCTGCGAGGAGGGGCAGTGTTCTATGTCCTTACCCTGTCTCTGGAGGAGAAGCCACAGTCTGCCTGTTTTCCCTTCCAGGGGCTCCTCTCAGTGCTTCTCATAGCCCACATGCCTCCCCACTCTGACTCTCACTACAGCCCTTTCATAGCCCGCCCCTTTCTTGGACAGTACTGAGAGTTGAACCCAGTACTGAGAGTTGAACCCTGCCCTGGTCAGGCTTCACCTTCCCAGTACCATGCCAGGCAGGCCCTCAATTACTCAGCTCCATCACAGCCTTCCTCTGAGTCCTTTCCTCACACTCCACCTAGCACTGCACTGAGTCCTCAGGGACAGTGGTGCTGCAGAAAGCTGCCCCTAGTAGGGTGGCTATACCACACTGCACCAGCTGCCTCCAGCTTGGCTCTCCTGGCATCTATAGGTGAGCACATGACAAACACTGGGGGATGGAAGGGGCGGGCAGTAGCTCCTGACCTCACCCTTCCCTGTCCTTCTTCAGTGGAGCTCAGGACTGAGAAGCCCCAGCCCTCCTCCAGTATGGCCTAGAGCTTCCAGGATTCTGGTTTAGGCCCATCAGAGTAGAGGACCAGGAGAGGCAGGCAGGGCCGGCCACTGACAAGTGCCCAGGGGGCAAGGATAAGGGAGGGTTGAGTGCTCCCCATGCCTCTAGGCCTTCATTTGTTCTAGTCTTCTGACAGTGCCCCTTCCTCCTTCTCCTTTAAGTTCTTACTTTTCCTAGTAAAGACAGATGGAGAAAGCCCAATTCCTCAAAGGTCTCTGACCTTGGCTCATGGGGGTGATTTTTACCAAGTGCTCCAGCCTCTGAGTCGACTTTATGCAGTGGATTACCCTTTTAGAGAAAAAGAGGATTATAAATAAACCAGCTAGAGATCTGTTCAGGACCCCTTCCCACCTCCCTAAAGTCAGGGGGTGGAGTAGAGAGAAATACTGGTCTGAGAAAGAAAGAAATCACCATTGGGATGCCCCTCAGCAGCAGGCCTGTAGGATGTATGTGAATATGATTTTTTTAAAAAAGAATCATGGGGGTGCTGGTGAGATGGCTCAGTGGTCTAAAGCACCTACTTAGAACAAGCTTAGCAAAGCACAGGGACCGCGGTTCAATCCCCAGCACCACATGCCAGCCAGCCCCGCCCCCAGGTGGGCTGAGCTGGACACACACACACACACACACACACACACACACAAATAAATAAATAAATAAATAAATAAATAAAAAAGAATCGTGGGGTCAGAGTGGACCATAAGGTACACGTAAGTTGTCTGAGCCCTGCATCCTTCCCTTGGTGTAATACAGGCCAGGAAGCGCCCTTTTCTGGGTTTCAGGCCAATTTCAGGAATGTCCAGATGGTCAAAGGCTTGGGCAACAGGGCAAGGAAGGACTGAGGGTGGGGTAGGGGCGGACTGGAAGTTCTACAGCACCAGATATGTGGATCTTTGCCATTCACGCAGGGTCACCCCCCAACTCTAGCTGGGTCTCTTCTATGAGCTGCAGGACCTTGGCAAGTTTTGGGTTAAGGCCTGGCCTTGACCTCCACTTCCTGCCCAGGCAACTGCAGGGTGCTGGTGGGGCTCCAAGAGCCCTGGTTGACACCCCAGGACAGAGGAGCTTTGGGCTCACGGAAGGGCACAGGAAGGACCTGCTTCCCCTCGCCTCTTGCTGTCCCATCCTGTTCCTCCAGGACCCTTCTCACTCCCTCGGCTGTCACCTTCTCTCTGCAGTGATGTTGAAGAGGTGAGGTCACAGATCTTAAAAATATTCTGACTTCATTAACCCTATGAGTTCTGCTAAATTAAGCCAGTCTGCCTCTGCTGTGGCACTTCCCACGGCTACTTTCCTGGGTGGCCACAGCATGGGGCAGCCATGGCAATCCCGGACCTGCTCACAAAGCCCCCAGAAGCCCATACTCACACGCACATGTGCATGCACACATCCACCCTCTCACATTAACACTCGCACTTGGTTACCCTTACACACACACCCAGGCCCCTGGCACCGGAGCTCTCAGTACCCATAAGCCCCAGTTCAAAGGCGTCTGCATTCTTCCGTACGCTGCTGGCCCTTGTGCTCATACACTGCTGGCCCTCATGCTATTGTCCTCTGGACTGTGTCTCTTCTGGAGGCTTTCTTTTCCCAAAGTACTGTCTCCCCAGACAGAGGGAATTGGGCCCTTTCTTTCCTCATGGAATTACTCAGAACAGACAGCTCTTAGGCAAGGACCCAGAGACTTCAGTGCCAGTGTCCCCTTGGACCTTAGTGGATCTTTGGCAAGTCCCTTCTACAGCTGTAAAGTGAAGGGGTTTATCTAAACCAGTGGTTCCTAAACATAACAGACATCTGAACTAATACACTTGCTTAGTCTCATCTCAAACCTTGTGAGTGAAACTTTCTCTCTAGCAAAGGTATGTTTTGGAAAATACACCCCAAATAATTCTGTTCTAGAACCAGATTAATCATGGGCCTTGACTGTGGTGGTCTCCCGGGGACTTTCAGGCTCTGCCCCTAGCTCCCACCTACACTGGTTTCCCAGCTGCACGGGGAATACGGTAGTCCTGGGAGGATGAGCTCAGAGGCTGCTGGGCTTTGTCCTCAGCCCCTGACTGTTTTGCTTGCAATAAGTTTGGGAAGCAGCAACAACCTGCATGAGCTTCCAGAGCTATGTGGATGAGCTTCCCGGATGGGGCAAACTCCAGACCCTATCTTCCCAAAGAGCTGGGGCTGGGTGAGGCTAGCAGGTGCTCCCACACCTTCCCCCTGGGGCAGAAGCCTTGAGGGGATGACTCCTCCCCTAATCCTCAGAGCAGACTTTGCAGATGAGGGAAGGTTAATTTCATCCCAGCTGCCTGACAGTTGGGACTGACAGTGACAAAGTGGATAGCCAGGAGACTGAGGACACGGGGAGGGATGAAGGAGCAGGGCGCTCTGCCCCTGGTCAGTACCAGTTGTTGGATGAGCTTGTCCCAAGCCCCTGAAAAAGACCACAGATGGCAGAACAGCCAAAGCTCATTGCTTTCCCCTACCAGTGGGGAAACTGAGGCCCAGCGAGGGGACAGGATTTGTCTAGGTCCATTAGCTCTTAGGTAAATATCCTCCCCATGTTGTCTGGTGCCACAAGAGAGGGGGCAGCCCAGCCAGCCCTGCAGAGCCCCTAGCCCAAGTGTCTCACCATCTTTTCGGTAGTACAGAATGTCAACCTTGCACTCCTCAGCCCCCAGCAGGGCCTGCGCCAGGCGGGACACCGCGCTTCTCGGGGTGTTGGGCCCTGTGAGGAAGTCGCAGGTGCATGGTCGCTGCATCACTTCCACTCGGGAATAGCCGAAGAGTTCGCAGAAGCCGTCGTTGCAATAAATGATGGCGCAGTTCTCCATCTGAGCATTGGCGATCAGAAACTTACGACCTAGGGTGGAGGCGAGAGGTGGGGAGACCCTGGAAGTCGGGGGGGGGGGGGGGGGGGGACTGGGCAGCAGGAGGAGAAGATCATCAGGGCCGACAACAGCGGGAGAGGGAATTCAGATGAGGTGAAAGTGGCGGCGCTTGGAAGGAGGGGAAGGTTGGGTTGGGGGAAGGCAGAACCACCCAGATCAAGGGGCAGTCATTCCTCATGCGTGAAGGGTGGGATGGCAGGAGGGGAATCGGTCCTGGGCACTGTGGACAGAGCAGGGCAGCAAAGGCGCAAGATGTAGAGATAGTAAACATGGTCCAGAAGAGGCAGCAGGGAGACCAGCAGCTGAGATCAGCCCTGGGAAAGCAGAGTGTGTGTGTGTGTGTGTGTGTGTGTGTGTAGGGGAAAGGAGCCAAGGAGACCCTCCGAATTGAGGGGACGGCCCCACAGGGGAGCGGAGCAGCGATCACAGGGGAAGCCCGGGCATGAGCACCCGACGACTATTCTGTGGGAAGGCGTAGGGCTGCATTCTGCCCTCCGTCCAGGACGGAGGTGTGCAGGATGCTTCCAAGCGGATTTTGCGTTCAGAATGGCACCCGCTCTCCCATTTGCCCCAGCACAAATAAACCGGTCTGACTGCTTCTGCCACCGACCGGCCGAGGACTCCGGATCACCCTATCCCGACCCCAACACACACACACACACACACGCACACACACACACACACTCACTCTGGCCTTCGAACTTGCGGATGATGGTGTCCAGGTAAGTGTTTTGGGGCGCGACGTGGCCCCGACGAACCGGCATCTTTCCGTGGTCCCAACCAGAAGCTACCGCATGCCGGCTCCCTGTAGTCTCTGCCTGTCCTGGGGCTCCGCGGCGTCGGACTCCCGGTGGGCGCCGCCCCGGGGGAGGGCCGCCGGGCCCTGGCCCCGCCCGCCGGCCCGCCAGCCTCTCGCGTCCTCTCCGCGTCCTCCCCGCCTTCCCCGGCCCCCTCCGGCCCCACTCCCCACCCGGTCCGCAGCGCGCAGCGCCTCCTCCCCTCCGCTCCTGCCCGGAGCTGTCCGCGCTGTGGTGCTGAAAGAAGCGCGCGCCAGGGCGGGTGGGATGCAATCTCTCTGAGGCCCACCCGGCAGAGACCGGGTCTTGAATCCTAGAGGGTGGAGTGTGGGGCCGAGGCGTGGGATGGGACAGCGGTGCTCTGAGGCCTCAGACTCTCCTGGACCCCCTTCAGGCACTGAAGGGTAGTTTTCCCACCCAATACAGCAGAGCACTGGGAGACGGCCCGCAGGAGGAGTTGTTTGGGGCCACAGGTGGTCTTCTGTTAGAGGCTTGCTCCAGAATCTGACCTCTGGGCCTTGCCTTGGCAACGATACACTTAGGCCTTTCATCAGCTCGTGACAAGTGGCCCCACTATCCATCCAGTTCCTGGTGGCAAGCCCAGCCAGCGCCCAGTCCTGGGAGGATGGACGAGAGCACACACTAAGGTGTACGTGAGATATGAGATTGGCGTCTTCTTTAGAGGTCTGAGGGCGCTTAGCACGCAGACATAGCTTGAAAGGGCAGATTGTAAACCGCCTATGAGTAACCACCACTGAGAAGAGAGCACTGACTGGAGACAAGCACAGTAGAAAAACAGCATGGAGTGAGGTTTATTGAAAGAGGCTTCTTGGAGAGGAGGATACGAGGGTCGCTGTTTGCTAAGAAACTTGGTGGGCTGAGAATATTGCAGCGGGTCCAATGATCAGTTCTGAGGCGGGAGAAAATCATTCAAATGGAGCATGCACCTGAGGCTAAGGCTGAGGGTGATGGGGCCCAAGGGTGCAGGGGGCTGAGTGAGGCGTGGAGGTAGAGGGTCACTGACCAAGACTTTCTGAGGCCACTTTGAATATCTAGATTTAATTGATGGGCAATCCAGTTCTGAAGCAGATAGGCATTTTGGAAGAAATGTGAAGACACTGAAGGAAATATTTGGGCAAAATAAATGGTGGGGTGGTGCAGGGAAGATGGCCAAGGAGGCTCAGTCAGGCTTTTGCTGGAGTCTGGGGAGGCCACGGGGTCCTGGGCTGGGTGTGCATTTGCTGCGCTGAACCACAGTTCCTGGGGAAGTGCAGAGGTGTCCTGGCTGCCCCTGTGGGGGGTGGTCAGGCTGGCTGTGGAGGAAAAATGGGGCTGTTGCTCTCAGGCTCAGTGAACGGGATGCTGAGCTCTGAGGAGAGACTTGGGCAGTGGGACATTCATTCATTCTTTCACACATTCAAATGTTTTCCAAGTCTCCATTGTGTATCTGTGCCTGTGTTGGCTAGAAATGTCACAGGTGCATACTCTGATTTGTGTCTCTAACAGCTAATCACTGGAACAAATTACAGTACAGAAGGGTAAATGCAATGACAGAGATATTAAATGAAGGTGCTGTAGAACTGGGGGCTGGAGTATGGGCTTAGCCATAGCATATATATCACAGAGATCTCAGCCCAGTACCTCTGTCTCCCCAGCAGTGACTCACAGGCTTCCAGGAGCCCCTAGATCCTTAGTCCAGGTTCAGAGAGTCTGAAAGTATTGGGTGCAACATCTCTGTGGCCAATACACTGCAGAGAAGGAGTTGGAAAGGTAGGGGAAGGGACCTGCTGCTCTTTTGCAGTCTTGCTCCTAGGGTGTGAGTATCTCAGGTATCCTCTTACAGTTGTCTTCTCCCCATGTCTCCCTGCCCCCCTCAAGCCTGGAAAGGTGCTGTTTGTCCTGTGCTTACTCCCCAGGGCAACCGGCCAGGCAGCAGGTGTGTGTGTTGAACAAGGCCATCTCCGGAGCAGAGTGGCTGGAGATGAGCTTTGTTTAAATATTTAAGAAGTCAATCATTAATCATGCCTGGCTTAATGCCCAGCTACCCACTGTCTCCATTCGGGAGGGCTTGTGCCCGGTTAGGGAGAACCACGGGGCAGTTTGAGAGACTATATGGATCTCAGGTGGCCACCGAAGAGCTGTTTAGGACCACAGTGCATTATACAGCCAAACGCAGGCTGGGCCAGGTCAACGGAGGGATATGAGGTCTACAGTGCTCATAAAAAGGTACCACTAGCTCGTGAAGGAATGTTCAGCTCTCCTTGAGGACATTTTGTAAGGAGGCTGAAGCTAGGTCCCTTTCTAACCAGGACAGAGACTCCTTGGTTCTGCAGTCCCAGCCAAGTCCCACACAGCCTCCCAAATGTCACAGCTGGGTTCCTAAACCCAACTGGCCTATTTGAGGCAGCAATGTGGGGTAAGGGCCACGTCAAAGGGACACAGCTACAAGGTCACTAAAACCATGGCCCCTGACCCCCTGTGGGAAGGGGCATAGCCTGGAACCCAGGGCACACACAGAAGCATACAGTTGTCACCTGTGCACATAGTTGAGTTTGCAAACACACAATCAAAACACCACTGTACCCAGGTCTTCCTCAGCTGCACCCAATCACAGCTGGGCACTGTGTCTTCAGATTGACCCCTCCCTATGGCCCAGCCTCCTGGACTCATCCCCCTCTTCCAGTCCCGCACCCTCACCATTCTCATTGGAGGTTATCTTCTCTCAACCACTCAGTTCTCATCCACGGTGGCTTCCTGTGGTGGTACGTGAAGATCCGAATGGTCAGGCTGATCACACATAGCATCAGGATGAAGCAGAGGCCCAGCAGGATCCACTGTCTTCGGGCCGCCTGTCGGGGCTCCATGGGCATCCCCAGGAAGTAGGTGTAGGGCAGGGTGCTTAGGATCATGCTGTCCTGGTCTAGGGACTGTTTTTCCAGGAAGTACAGCCTGTGGGCCAGTCCCAGGACCACCAAGAGCATAACCAAGCTTAGAACCAGCAACACCCACTGTCCAAATGTAACCTGGCCAGGCTTCAGCTTTAGACCCAGTAGTGCCACTTTGTTTGTGTTTCTTTCTGTGGAAAATAGGAACATCTCACTGAGCAGGTGGGCCCTGTGGGGGGCCTTAGGTTCCCTGTGGTGTCGGGGGAATCTGATGACCACTGGACTTGTCTCTCAGCCTCAGGTCACAGGTGAGGAGATTGCTCCAGGATGAGGATGGGAAAGAATAGATGGAAGAGAAAGATGTGGGCATGGGCAGGGAGACGCACCCCATGGGGCCTAGTTGGGAGGAAAGATGCTAACCTTCTGCTTAGGCACTAGTCTGGCAGACTACCTGGGAGGTATACAAGAGACAACTGAGCCAGGGCTGGGCATGGCTGTGCTCAGGTCTGGTAAGGTAAGTTAGCTGGCAGCAGTGCTGCGCCAGCTAGGGCTCAAGCTGGGCAGTGGACAGCCTGAGAGGGATGGCTGGGACAGAGCCTGGAGTTACACTAAGGCCAGGCTAGAAGCAGATTGACCAACCTTCAAAGGAACAGGTGAAGTCTGGCCAGCCTAGGATTTCTCCCTGCCGCACGTTTTCAGCCACCAGCCAGTTCAGCAGCGGCTTGAAGTAGGCCTTGAGGGCATTTGTGGACACATTGGACTGCCCGGTCAGCTCCTTTAGGACCTCTGGCCAGGGCTTGCTGGAGCCCAGCTTCAGGGCACCCCTGGAGGAAGAAGGGTAAATGTTAGGCTGTGGCTGTGGGTGTCCACAGGTATTGCCAGGACCCCTTGTGCCCCTCCATGCTTTGCCAGCCAGAATCTCCCACAGAGCTCAGCATAATGGACCAATTATCAGCTTTGAAATATACTCATCTGAGTTCAAAGTTCAGCTCAGGCACTTTGTAGCTGTCATCTGAGCCTTGGTTTCAATATTCATAAAATGGAGGTAATGATATCCACCTTCCAGGTTTGCCACAGTGCTGAGAGGCAGTAAGTGGTAACTGCTGCTGCTGCTGATTAGGCAGCTCTGACCATTCCTCTCCTGGACTCGAGTAGGCCCCAAGTCTCTGCCACTGTCTCCTGTGAAGTGCTCCTTGTCCGTGGGCGGAAGCAGCTCTCCAATCCTTTCTGGTCTTGCCAGAAAGGTACGGGAGGTTTGGGAGGACGCAAGCTCTCAGGAGCGTGGGAGACATTCTGAGTATCTCCTGAGGCCCTGCCTGCACAGAGGTCCCTCTCGAGGCACGCCCAGTGCGAGGTCGCAGGTGGCTCCGCCTGGCCTACTGCACTTGCTTGGTGGTGGTACAGGGTGTGCTAAAGCCATGGGTCCGGGCTCCCCGCCCTGACTCCCAGCAGAGCAGCAGTGGGCAGAGATGTTGATCCTCCTCAACCTGTCCTTTCCTGCTCTGACCACAGAGAGGTCACCTGTAGCATCAGGACTGAAGGGACCCAGACCCCAAACCCAGCAGTGCCAGTTCTGCACCGTGTAACTTCTGGCACCAACTCAAAGCCTCTCGTAGGCTTGATTCCCTCTACAGTAAACAGCTCCACGAACACTTCCCCGTGGCAAGGATAAAGTCCCATGATGACTAAGGAGGACTTTGTAGCTTGTGAAGATTCACATGTATCACTTAATAAACAACTCGGGAGGAAGGAGGTGAGGAAAGTAAAGGTTAGTGGGTTCTTGGCCAGCACTAGTGCACAAGAATGTAGTTAGGATCCCTGGAAAATTAAGGAAAAAAGTTGTCAAGATTGAAAGAGAAAAAAAGCAAAAACAAAACTAGAGGAATTTTGTCCGATGCTGAAGTCTTAGGTAAAAGGAAAACACCAGAAGAGGGAAGCTTCAGTCACTGAAAATTTATCTGTTCAGAACAAATACTGCAGGCTGAGGGGACAAAACGTAGGACTGGAGTCCGGCCTGCAGCTGGTATAGACAGCGCAGAAGGCCGGAGGCTGCAGAGCTGGCACTGCCTGAAGTGAAAGGGACAGGCCCACAAACGAAGCCAGACCCCCCCACCCCCGCCACAGCTGGCTGGGAGAGGTGGAGGGGCTTTGGGAAATTACGTGCGGTCCACTTCCACTCCCCACTTCCAACACCTGGCCAGGGTCTTTGGATTTGGAAGGATAAATCAAAGGTCGCAAAATCAAGCTTTAAGATAGAGGAGGCACACCAGGGTCAGTGACATGGCCCTGTGGTCCCGCGTACTTGGCAAAGCAAAACAGAAGGGTCTCTGGAGTCTGGAGTTTGAAACCAAATAGGGCTACACAGCAAGATTCCATTTCACAAAAGGCAAAAAAGCAGCCCCAAGTTTCCTTTTTCTGCCCTGCTTTGAAACGGAGAGGAGCCCTGAATAAAGCCTCTGGCAAGAACCCCTACCATCTTTTGGCTTTTTGGTGGTGAGCACAGGGACTGAACCCAGGGCCACATCCTTGCCAGGTTAAGCGCTGCACTACTAAGCTATATCCCCGGCCCTTCCCCGGCTTTTAGTTAGTGTCCAATTACCCCATGCCTGAGCTCACCAATATCCCCCTGCCCTATCCCTGAAGAGGTGAGTATAAGAGCGGGGTAACCCTTCTCAATCTTGGCGACTTCAAGAATAAACTTTCTCTTTCACAGTATGTGTTGGGTGAGTGCTTAGTGTGTGGTCCAGCAGGCTAAACCAGTTGGATTGAGCGCCACCCGCTTTTCCCTCAACAGTCTCCCCACATCGCCTTCTCTCTCTCCTTTGCATAGCCTACATTCCCCCTTTGCTGCCATCCAAGGTCCCCTAAGCTTCTAATATCCTCATTTCTCAGAGGTCTCTCATCTGCCCACTGCCCAGAAAATGGTGGTTGAGGTGGTAAGCTTGGGAGGTGCCAGATCTTCCCGGATCAGCTGTTTGCATGCACCTGGTACATCAGCAGTGCTTTGTACTTTCAACCTGGGTCTCCCAGCCTCTCCAAGCCTACTAGAAGACCAAACCAAACCTAACCAAAACTAAACAAAATGCCACAGAGCAAGAGGGACAGTTTAATTTAGTGTGTGTGTGTGTGTGTGTGTGTGTGTGTGTGTGTGTGTGCGCGCACGCGCGCACACTTTAGCAGGAGGAACTCAACAATATCTGACCATAGTGGGTCAACAAGAGGAAATGTGCTTCAATTTGTGAAGGAAAGACAGCAGTCTGACACAGCGGGGATTTAGCAGTAGAACGTAAGCTCAGTGAAGTTCTGTCCAGAGAACAGAGTGGCTGGGTGAGGAGAGAGGGCCTTGAGCAGGGCTCCTTACAGGGGAGACAGCAGTTGAGGACAGGTGGAGGAGGGGGAGGAGCCACTCACCCCAGGATCTTTCCAGCCACCTTAGAGTTAGAGATGTCACACTGGTGCAGTGGGCCCACATGGCCCGAGGCATTGCACAGAGCCTCATGAAACTGGAACTGAAGCACTAAGCTAAGGAAATACCTGGAACACAAGGTGAGTTGGGGGGAGGGAGGATCAGGGCTGAGAAGCCCCAAGCCATTCTGGGCTAGGCAGCCCCAGTGTGCACACCAGCAGTCACCACCTGGGTGTGGCTCCCCGGGCAAGGCCCTGCCTCGAGTTGGCCCTAGACTATGAGACCCCTCCTTATATAGTCTTGTGAACTGGTGGTCACCCCAACCCTTATATTCCCCTTTCCTGTCCTCTTCTGGGGGCAGCAGGAATGGTTAAGATTAGAATATTCCCACTGTCTCTGCTCTCTGCACAAGATCTAGTGGCCCAGGGCACAGACCTCCGATGGGAAGAGGTTTTTAGAGGAGTAGGCAGCATTTGGGCCCAGGGTAGGGCTCCTTATAAGGGAGACATCCTCAGCTTCATCCCATGCCTCCCGAACCCCACCTCCCAGAGCTGACTGCCGACAGGGCCCAAACCTTTACCGCATGTAGGGCACATTGGCAGAAACATGGAACTTGGCACCTGGGTCAAAGTCATCCTCTGTCCGGGGCACAGGTGGGCACAGGCCTTGGTGCATTAGCCTGGCAGGAGACAAACAGGGTCTCGGTGGAGGCCTCTGAAGGAGCTCCGAGCATTCCCTTTCCAAAGCACTTGTGTGTGTCTATCAAAATTGGACCTGGCGTGCAGACAGCACTTGATGCATTTCCATTCATTACATAACTGAAAACACTTGGGATTGGAATCAGGGTGAAGCCACAATGGCAGCTTAACGTTGACTGAGCACTTCCTCTGTGCCCTGAGCCGGGCTCCTAGAGCCCGGCATGCTCTCAGCGCAGGCCTGGTCCCTAGAGAGGTGTCACCGAGGAAGCGAACAGGGCCAAATCTCTGCTTGCGTCCATCCTAAAGAGGTGGGCAGGTTACAGATAGCTTCCTCTAGTAAATACTGCTAAGAAGACAACAGAGAAACATCCAGTGGCGCACTACTGCTACTATCGTACCCTTTTTACAGATGAGGACACCGAGATTTAGAGTTCAAGGAGGTGGCCTCGAGATGCAGACCCAGGTGCTGGCAGGCTGGTTACTTGAGGCTGTGTTTGCCCCTCTGAGCTGCGCTCCTGTGGGAGCTCAAGAACTGATGGTCACTGAGCCCCCTTATAAGATGACTGAAAAATGAGGATAAAATGACCCGTCTTTGGAACGAGATAACTTCTGCAGGAAGACTCATTGTTGCGTTGTCTGGTCCCCGAGACCCTGAATCACCCTGGGGGTTAGCAGGTTGCTGGGCGGTTCTTCTAGTGCTTCCCTGCTCAAGGCCTAGGTGTTGGCTAGGGGTGGGCGTGGCTGACACAGAAAGGAAAAGGCTCTCTTGGGATGGATGCCTGAGGTGGCTGCGGTGGAGAGGGGAGGTGCTCTCTGAGGAAACAGGGTAGGCCTCTGCTGACGGCCCCAGTGAGATCTGTACCTGAGACCACAGACTGGGGCTGGGAGAACAACTGGAGGAGGAGTGCCCAGCTCTGCCACAGTTGGGGCGGGCTCCAGACTAGACATGCGGCCACTGTGGGAGGGGCTACTCCTGCTGGGTGGTGACCGTTTAAGTGAGCACAATACAGAGCGGCTGCAGAGGAGCTGCAGGCCTCAGACAGCAGCCTGTGTTGCCCTGTGTCCCGCAGCCTTAAGCTCATCAGTCTGACCCCTGGTGGATGTGGAGAAGCCCTGGTCATCAGCATTTAGTATCCAACCAAATGCCCGGCCTGACTGCAGGGGGCCTCTCTGTCAGCTGCGCAATGCTAAGCCTCTGCAGCCCGGCCTGTACGCGGGCAGTGGGCTGCCTCTCCCCTACAGGCTCTCCTTCTCACAAGAAAAATGCTCAGGCCCTGCCCATCTGTCTCTCTTCCTGAGTACCCTGTGGGAAGAAGGGAAGGAGGGAGGTGCGGGCCTGCTTGGTGGTCAGTATTCCTTTCTTGGTGGGAGTTTCCCAGCCAACCAGGGAGCAGGGGACCCCGTTTGCACAGATGAGACTGAAGCTGAGAGGTTAAGAGGCCTGCTCAGTGCTGGTGCCAGATTCAGAATGCGCCCCCAGGATCGCCCACACTGCAGGATTGTGTAAGCCCTGTGGCGTGGCTGCCTTTGTCGGGTGATAGCAAACACGCCACACTGTCCTGGGGTTTCTCCAGGACTGAGGGTCACCAACATTGTACCTTCACTCTGCTTTTAAAGGAGAGGCCAACACCACTCTCTGGCCATGGTGGCCAAGCTGTGGCCACACCAGGTGTGGGCATGGAGCCAAGAGCCTGGGGCAGCCGCCTTCCCACCTGAGGTTCCACCACTCCTGGTTGTAGATGTCCTTTATGATGGTGCCGTCAAAGACCTTCCAGCGAAACACATCCACCAGGTAGCTGAAGGGGATGAAGGCGATCTTCTCCAGGGCGATGCCCATCAGGAAGTTGATTTCCTCCTCTGGGGAGGGGTCAGAGCACTCAGGAGGTGGCTGCCGAGCTCTCCCTCCCCGTCCCCTGGCCTGGATGCCCTCACCCCCCAAGCACAGCCCCAAGCTCAGGCTGCCTTCCTAGCATCCCCTTGGGTCCCACCACCTGAGTCCTGGCGCTGGAGACTGATCAGGCCCGTGCTGAACAGGTGCTTCTGGGAAGAGGCTGAGAGGGCGATCACTGACCCCACAGCCTCTTCAAAAGCAGGGTTGGCACCTTCGTGGAAGATTAGAGAGAGGTTCTGGTATTGCATGAAGTACTGGATGTGACCCATCTGGTGGAAGATGGAGAGCAGGTCTTCTAAGGTCACCTCTGTGCATTTCTTTATCCTAGAGTTAAAAGGCACTGATCAAGAGCATGAGCACGGCCGGGGAAGAGAAACACTTCTCCATTTAGACTTCCGTAAGGAATTGGCATGGATCGGATGCCCCACTGCTATCCTGTCCCACCGATCAGTGACCACAACAAGGGCTTCACATCCATCTCCCCATCTGTGCTTCTGGCACACACACACACACACACACACACACACACACACACACACACACCCCTGCTGTTCTTCCCCTGCCTGTGCCTGGCCTAAGCAGCCTGAGACAGGCAGGTGGGGGTGGGGCGAGGATGTGAAGAACAGTGCCGGCCGCAGGCCACACATGTGGTCGCTACCTGAAGTCATTGCCCGTGTAGAAGTCCCATGCAGAGGTGTGGCACTCCACCTCCCGCCCATCAGTCGGCTTCTCCAGCATTGACTTTCGCCAGAAATTAGGTGGGGCAGGTAACAGCCCCAAGGAGGTCAACAACTTGTCAGCCTCTTCAAACATTTTCTCGGGTTTCCAGTGCTGTGGGAAGAGGGGGTCCACGTGCACTGCCCTGTTCACCCAAGGACCTGAGAGTGGGGACATCTGGCAGGGGCCAAGCACTGACCTGGCTTTTCATGATCTTCGTGATGTCCTTGGGGGGCTTCTTGGGGAAAGGCAGAACCAGGTCTAGGATCTTGTCCCAGGACTGAGCCCACATGTTCCCTGAGAGGAGGGTGGGCGTGACCAAAGGAGGTGAGAACAGGCTGCCTGCTGACTGAACACTCAACACCCACCCCTGCCACCAGGGGCCCTCACCTAGCAGGTGGGCAGGGATGGGCCCCCGCAGGTTGATGAGCTCAGGCCCGTAGTAGCGGTATAGGGCGCGGCGCACGTACGCGTGCAGGTTGAGGTAGAGCGGCTGCAGCTCCTGGTATAACTGCTCCAGGTCTTGCTCCAGGGTGTCTGACTCGTACTTAGAGCGCCACAAAGCTCCCATGTCTTTGTACCCTAGGGCAGGAGAGGGGACTGGCCAGGCACTCACCACACCGCCCTTCAGAGCTGGTCTTGCGGGCAGGAGGCCCAGGTGCCTTCTCGGGAAGCTGTTTAACCTCCCTGGTCCTCTGGCTCTTCATCTGCAAAATGGGAGTGTCACCTCCCAGAGCCACTGTCCACTTCGGAACAGACCAGAGGGAGAAGCACGATGTGAAGCCCCGGCGTGAGCTCTGCGCCAGGCCTGCAGGCGCTGTGCTCTCCAGGCCCTCCTCATCCTCGCCAGGCCCGCCAAGTCCTGTCCTCTGCACCCAGCTGGGGCTCTTCTTCAGCTGCAGCCCCGTGGGCACACTCTGCCTCCCTCCCAGGGTGGGACTTCTGCCCCAGCGGCTTTAAGCTTCCTGTTTGGCCAGCTCTTGGCTGGGTGTCGAGCTCAGGTAAGTGCTGGGGGCTTTCCTCACTTCCTCCCCTGCAGCACCTTCCTCTACAGCACCGTCCTAAGTGGTGTGAAAGATGAGTGTGTGCCTGGTGACGTGGCTCCTACAGGGCTGCGGGCCCACAGCGCAAGCATCTGTCCACCTTTCACCTGCATGGCTCAGAAGCTCTGGAGCATGCAGCGCTCAGGAGCTGCTCTGCGCTATGTGTGGGCCCGGCTGCAGGGCCGCCGCCCGCTCCGGGGTCCTGTGCCTCCCTCTGAAGAGCTGGCTCTGCCCCTTCTTGGCACTGGCCTGAGACCGCACTGTGCCCAGGCTGCTCACCATTGAGCTGTGCAGCTTTGTTGCTGAGCTGCACGTAGTGCCAGAAGATGGGGCGGAGCTGGCGACCCACAGCGTCCCGCCAGCCTTCCCAGGCCCACAGCAGCTCCTTCTGGTCCCTGGAGGTGGCCATGATCTCCTCGAGGTCTGTGCCCAGAAAAGGAGTCACATGGGCCCCCATACCCTCCTGCCTCTGCCCTTACCCACCCTGCGTGCCCTTTTCCAATAGGGGGAGCACAGTTGGGGTTGGCAAGTCCACAGAAGTGGCCGGGATGGGGCACTCACCGGGCTCCAGGGGCATGCAGGGCCCCTCATCCAAGCACACCTGGGCCAGGCTGTATGTTGTCTCCATGTAGGCCAGAAGCTTGTTGTACTGGAGGGGACAGGTGTCACACAGAGCGGACCCATGCCCCTGGGCTGCCACCAGCGCTAGCTCCACTGGCCTTGCAGAGGCCCCGCCCTCCTCCCACAGAGGAAGTTCTGCCTCCACTTTGCAAACCCGCTCTGCCCCAGTGCCCACACTGGCTCCCCACCAGGTGTGACCCACCCACCACTGGGCTAGGGAGGGTGTGCCTGGAGCCCAGGGGCTCTGTCCATCACCTCCCGAAGCTCCTCTTGGGGCAAGGCCGCCTTGCCCATGTCCTGCAGCTTACTCAGCATGCGCTTCACAGCTGGGTCCTGGAACTGGGCGATTTTAAACAGGTGCGCCCGGGTGCCAAAGTAGTTCATGAACTGGGACCTCTCTAGCTCCTTCTGCAGCTAGAAACAGGGCCGCCGTATTTGTTGTGGCAGATTAGGGAAGGCGGTAGGCGTCCCACACTGAACCCCCAGAGCCAGGACGCCTCTTCCCACTCCCAAATCCCATTTTAAGTGGCCAAAATCATCAAAGATTTGCTAAGAGGATGAATGAGAAAGGCATGTGTTCCCAGAAGCAAGGAGGAAGGTTTTAAAAGGGCAGAAGAAGCAAGAAACTCTTACCTTAAGCAAGTTTGAGGCCATTAAGTGGTCTGGAACTTATAACCCCCTTTAACACGTGCTTTGGGGCTTCCCTCTCTCCTCTAGCTCTAGACAGGGGTCAGCTGGGATGGGTCCCAATTCCCAAGAGCCTCTGAGAGGAACAAAAGGAGGAAGGAGTGGGGCTGGGAAGGCAGAAGCATACCATCTCCTCTCGATTTGGGTTGGTGATGTTGGTGACATAGTTCCAAGTGGTCTCCATGAACTCCTTCAGCACAGTACTGGCTGTTTGGTCATAAAACTGCAGGAACAGCTTTGCTTCAGTTTCGTTGTAGTACAAATCTGCAGGAAGGGGATTATGTGGTCCTGGGGGGCCCTGTACCCACCCAGAACCCCTGTCTGGCCCCATGCTCCTTCAGGTCTCCAGTCACACCTAAACTCAAATCTCCCACAGTCCTAAGCCACGGCAAGAGCTGCCCACAGTACAGGAGCACAAGGAGGGAAGGTCCCGGGTGAGTCCATCTTGTTCCCATGACCAAGAGCAGAGCAGAGCTGGGGGCAGCTATGGACCAATCACAAATGAGCTCTGTATTATGACATCAAGGGCTAAAGGTTCAGGATTGGAATGTTAGATCTGAAAAGTCCCCACTCACCTGCTGGCACGGAGAGCTGTGAGGTCTAGAAGGGTCAAGCTGCAGTGTCAAGAGAATTTAGGGCTCTGGACTTTTAGGATAGAACTCTTCTTGACTTGGCTACTTCTCCCTGGTTTGGAGCCAGTCTTGGATCTTCATGAGGGGTTGGTGAGACCCCGCCCTCCAAGGCTAGGATTGCCTCTGCGTAGATGGGTGGAAGGATGGACGGATGCATGAAGCACAGATGGGTACCTGGAGGTGACATTTCTGGGTCTTCAGGCTCTGGAAATGCAGTTGTCTGCCTAGGTTCTTCTCAATAGCTCTCTTAGATTCACATTTTGCTCTCTCTCTCTCTCTCTCTCTCTCCCTCTCTCTCTCTCTCTCTCTCTCTGAACATGCGATCATCCTGGGGCTGACAGGGCATTTCTCCTCCCCCTGAGGCTGCTTCTGCACACACAAGGGAGGCACCAGGGTGGAAGGGTGTGGGGGGCATGGAGACCCACAGTTGGGTGCTTGCCCCTAAGAACTGGAGCCCAGCTTCAGCACCAGCCGAAACCCTCAGCTCCTGCCAGCCCCTGGTTATTCTCCAGGGCCCTGACATGTGTGTTCTGAAGAGCGCTGCTTCATCTAGCACCACAGAGCTCCTGCTCAGACTCCTGCTCCTCCATGCACAGGCTCGCCTGTCATGTGCCCTCCTCAGGCCAGAGTGACCACCCCTTCACCTGGCCTGCCAATGTGACCCAAGAAACTGACTGAATAGCCCCCCAACAATGGTCCACTGAGATCAAAATGTATTTGAAATATAAGACAAGACAAAAATAAGTGAAATTTCTGTTTAAACTGATCAACTGAGCTCACAGGGAATTCTCTTCTGCTTCAGGCCTGAAAACATGCTTGGTAAAGTATAAGTTGTGGGGGGTTTTTGGTACCAGGGATTAAACTTAGGACCTTTTGCTTGCCAGGCAAGCACTTATTCTACTGAGCTATCTCCCCAGCCCCAAAACATAAAGACTTTGAAAATGCTGAATGCAGAGCTGAACAGGAAAGGAGGAAAGGGGACTCCAGTTGCCAGAGAGCAGAGAACACCCGTGGCAGCAGGCAGGATGGAAGCCACATGGAAGCCACAGTGTCTCCATCCATGGAGCTGTGGCACTGGGGTGTGTGCAGGTAGTCGGTCGGTCACCTTCCCTGAGGCAGAAGCGACATCTCCATCCAGCTGGGAGCCGGGAGGTGGCTTGCTTTCTAAGTGAGCCCTGTGAGAAGCAGATGTCCGCATAGGGCCCTGCAAAACGCTGCTCCAGTTGAGTGAGGATGGCCTCTGGTTCAAGGTGCCGGAGGGACTGTAGCAACCACCACCACCCCACTGCCACTAGGAAGCTTTGTGTGTCAGAATCTCCCCAAGAAATCCCGGAGGGAGGCAGTGAGATCAACAGGATACAGGCAGCCCGAGGCTGAAGAACCTGCTCACAGTCACACTGCTAGATCCAGGCCCTGTGCTAACAGCGGGGAGAGCAGCCCACACTTAGGAAGGGGAAGTCTCGGCGTACGGAAGGGGCTCCCGGGCTGGGGCTGTAGTTCTTTGCTAGAGCACTTGCTTAGTGTGTACGAGGCCCCCGGCACAAGTCAGTCTCCAGTCTCTCTCTCTCTCTCTCTCTCTCTCTCTCTCTCTCTCTCTCTCTCTCTCTCTC